GGATGCGGCTGAGTACGCGGCACTGAGCGCGGCACCCAGAGGTTATGTAGTCGTACACCGACTAGAAAACCTCAGAAGACCTCAGTCAGCGGACTGGAAGTCAGTGCTCAGCGGAGCAACAGAGCAGAAGTACGCGGTAAAATTGCAAGCTGGCATATCGGAGAGTACGCGGTACTAACCGTATGCAACTGGAAGGAAGCTGAGCACGCAGTGCAAAGGTTCCGACCAGTGGTGTAGAGCGTCTACACCGTACCTGTGTCAGCGGACAGCAGGTGAGCTCAGCGGAGCTTAATTTCAAACTGCGCGGCAGAATGAATAGGTAATAACCTGTGTCAGCGGACAGCAGGGAAGCTCAGCGGAGCAAAGATCAGACTGCGCGGCAGAAAGATCTTAGAAGAAATGACAGCGGGCACACGGTGCCTTGTCGAGATCTTCGAGCTGAGATGACCGCGGGTCAAAACAGCGGACAAGCCATGGCTCAGGAGGCAGTGCTAATGCAGCACCGACAAACAACCAAGAGCTACAAAATCAGCTTCAAAGTCGAACGGACAAGCAGTAAGCACTTAACCTCGGAGCCAGAGCTGCCGGGCGGGCGGATGCGTTAAGTGCATACTTGCCGTTGCGTGCTAGCTGCAAACATGCGTGTACAAGTACATCCACAAAGAAAACCCTAAACGCTAAGCTCTAAAAAGCCCGAGACCCTAAGTCCTAACAACTCCCGAAACCTGAAACCCCAAACATCCCCAAACCCTAAAAAACCAAAGACCCTCAACGCTATGGCCTGAACCCGAAACTAGTAATTTTGGCGGGAGCGTCTAGTGGAGAGGCCCCCGTGCTTATGAAGCACTGGTCATCTGGACCACTTAGGGCTGATGCGCCAATAAGAGAAACAGAAGCTTCATGCTTGCTTGCGTTGCAGCACGGACCGAAAGCAAGAAATCAAGCGACAAGCTTGAAAAGCAAGGCACGCAGTGTGCGTTTCAGAAGCTGTTTCCGAACCGATGAAAATCTTGAGTGGGGAGAATTGGTCAACCCAAAGACAAAATAGAACGTCCTCCGCCCCAGAAATCCCGGCGAACCTTTTGAAGCCTCCCCTAAATGCTGGCCTGGCAATGTTGAAAGGTGGGGGAAGCAAGCCAAAGCTTGGGATCCCCCGCGGCCTAAGCCTCCTCTCCTGCAACCTGCCTGGGCTGCCTGGGACCCCTCTATTTGGCTGGGACGTCCCTTTGCAGATCATGGTGCGGCATGTGTTGCCAGTCACTTGCAACATGGATGACTCGATCTCACTTTAAGAAGATGGAAACCCCTATTGCCCGTTTGCGGCGCCCGCCCAAGGGAAGAACGAGGTCTGCCGGTTGCAAGCAGCAGCAAGAGACCGGACTCCACAGGTGGGAGGGCAGGAAGGGGAGGGGAGGGGCCAAAACCGGGAGCAAAACAAATCAAAAAAAAACCCTCTAAGGGGGTGGCCGCGGCCACAGACGCGGCGGCAGCGGAAGCCGGGGACGCACGCCAGAAATTCAACCAAAAACTTTAAAAACCTCAAAGATTAATTGAAAACACCAAAAACGCTGCGGCGCACCATTTTTTCTTTGAAAATTGGCCCCCTCCGCCCACAGCACAAAGATGTGTTTTCGCTCCAAATCGCGGAGAATCGCGGAGAATCGCGGGGAATCGCGGGGGGCCCGCGCGGAAGAAACACACCAGGAAACCCTTCGCGGGCACTTCGCGGGCAACTCGCGCGGAAAAAAAGTACCCGGAATCCGCTCGCGGGCATTTCGCGGGGAATCGCGGGAGAATCGCGGAGAATCGCGGGGCTGCGTTTTTTCCGAAAAACTGGTCTCGGCCCTGAACGCAGAGAAAATGTGTTTTTTACGAAAATCACCGGAAAAATGGTGTCAACGCACTTAGCGTTTCATTACGGGGAAAACATTGGGAAAACAAGCAATCTTTATCTTTTTTAACGCCTGCGCTCGGGCTGCGCCCGCAACGCCCCCGCGCCCTTCCTGGCGCACACCTTCGAGGGCCAGAGACAAAGCTGGTAGATCATTATCCGGGCTGTAGCCACAAGATCCTGATTTTGATTCTCATACCACCGCGCAACCTGCTGCACTGCACACCACACCTATGGAAATGAAGACTTGACATTGCTAATGTCTTCAGATGACCACCACGGCCTGCGCCGCCTCTGCGCAATATACAAACGTGGGAAAGGGGGACAAACAAAATAAACAAAGCTTGCACGGTTGCTTTTTGGATCCTTTTGCAGTCGAGCCAATCACATTGATCAACAGCTTTTTGCCCGCAGCCAAGCCCAGGCGGCCGAGGCCCCGCAGCCAGGCACAAAACAACAATGCCCGGAAACCTTCTATTTTTGTTTCCTTTGTATTGATTCGAGCCTACCTGCCTACTCACCATGGGGACGACGCAACAAGTTGAATCAAAACATGGCCAACGTGATTGGCAATACAAAGACGGCTGCGCCTGACCCCAGCTACGCGGCATGTGAATCATCTCACAGACTATTAAACTTGTCTCGGCAAGTCTGGGTAAGTAGGGACACCAAGCTTGCGCTTGCTTTGACAAGGTCAGGCTTACCGCAGGCTTGCCTCTCACCAAGAGTGACTTGCTCCCCCGAAACCAAAAATCTACCAACGCCCGCTAAAATTTCTACCCGAAACCCCCCCACAACCCTAAACCCTAAAAACTCCTAAACCCTAAACGCGAAGCCCCTAAAACCCTACACCCCAAAAAAACTCACCCTACAAACCCCCTAACCCACAAATCCTTAAACCTTAATTAAAGAAAACCCTAAACGCTAAACTCTAAAAACCCCAGACCCTTAGCCCTAACAACTCCCGAAACCTGAAACCCCAAACATCCCCAAACCCTAAAAACCAAAGACCCTCAACGCTATGGCCTAAACCCGAAAAACCCAAAGAACCCCCCTCAACCCTAAACCCTACAAACCCCTAAACCCTAAACGCTAAAACTCCTAAACCCTACACCCCAAAAAAAACCACCTACAAACCCCTAACCCATAAACCCTAAATGCCCCTGGAGCCCTAAACCCGAAAAACCCTAACCCGAAACCCTTAAAACCCCTAAACCTTAATTACAGAAAACCCTAAATGCTAAACTCTTAAAAACCCGAGATCCTAAGCCCTAACAACTCCCGAAACCTGCCGGAAACCCCAAACATCCCCAAACCCTAAAAAACCAAAGACCCTCAACGCTATGGCCTAAACCCGAAAAACCCCCAAACCCTAAACACGAACAACCCCCTTAAAACCCCCCTCAACCCTAAACCCTAAAAACCCCTAAACCCTAAACGCTAAACCCCCTAAACCCCAAAACAAACCCACCCTACCCTAAATGCCCTTGAGCCCTGGACCCGAAAAACCCTAGCCCGAAACCTTAGAAGCCCCTAAACCTTAATTAAAGAAAACCCTAAACGCAAAACTCTAAAAAACCCGAGACCCTAAGCCCGAACAACTCCCGAAACCTGAAACCCCAAACATCCCCAAACCCTAAAAAACCAAAGACCCTCAACGCTATGGCCTAAACCCGAAACACCCCCAAACCCTCAACACGAACAACCCCCTTAAAACCCCCTCTCAACCCTGAATCCTGGGACCCACTTCAACGCTAAAACCCCTCAACCCTAACCCTGAAACACAAAAACCCTAAACCCTCAAAACCCCTAAACCCTAAAAACCCTTAAACCCTAGAAACCCCTGAACCCTGAACCCTAGAACCCTCAAACCTTCAACCCTCAATTAAACACCCTAGATTCTAAACCCGAAAAATCCCTTCAACTGAAGCGACCTGTGTGCGCTGCGGTGAGCAGCGAGCATGCAGAGGGGGCGACAGCCCCTGCCAGCTCCGCAGCTGTCGCGCACATCAATGTCCCGTTCTTTTGCAGGAAACCAAGGGGAACTCGGCGAGTTTTCACAGGTTTAGGCAGTACTTGTTAGGCTTAGGGCTGTCAGCTATTGGTTGGTCTCTGTCTACTGGCACCCAGCTTACTGGAATAGGCTTTTCGGCACCCTTAGCTGTTTTGTCAGGGACGCTGCCCATCCCGTAATAATTGGAGGAGACTTTAATCTTGTCAATGACAAAAGACAAGGCGACTTCGAACAATTATTGGCGCAAGGAGACCCTCTCACAAAAGTTGGGGTTTTATAGAAAAAGATATAGAACGCAATCTGTGTACAATTTATTCCTCATGATTGGAATAAGCTTTAGCGAAAAGGTCTATCTTGTGAAATCTCAAAAGTAATTCCATCTTCTATGTACACCTGTGAAACTCAATCACATATATGTGTTGAAGACTCATTCGGTTACACTGACGCGCTTTTTCTTCAGTCGTGGGGCAAGCATGTACAGGATGCGATCTGGTTTCGCGATTTCCTGCTCTCCCGAAATACCCCATACAGACCCAACACTGAGACGGGTGGGTGGGAGGGACAAAAATTTTCTCTCAGCCCGAGCTCGAGCAGCTGTTCACATGAATGCGGCCAACTGTTGATTCAAGCATGCTGCAAGTCACACAGTTGAAAATGTCGTTCAAGATGCTGAGGAAAATTCTTTGAAAACTTGAAATAATTTTTGCAACTCCCAAAGGTCACAAAAGAACTCTAAAACCCCGCGCTCGAAGGTGGAGCGCTACAACTTTAGTTTGAGAGAGAAATGTCAGGCAAGCTGAAATTTTCCCTCTCACAAAAGTTGGGGTTTTATAGAAAAAGATATAGAACGCAATCTGTGTACAATTTATTCCTCATGATTGGAATAAGCTTTAGCGAAAAGGTCTATCTTGTGAAATCTCAAAAGTAATTCCATCTTCTATGTACACCTGTGAAACTCAATCACATATATGTGTTGAAGACTCATTCGGTTACACTGACGCGCTTTTTCTTCAGTCGTGGGGCAAGCATGTACAGGATGCGATCTGGTTTCGCGATTTCCTGCTCTCCCGAAATACCCCCTTTTTAAGAGAGCTATCAGGTAAGTTCGAACGCTTGCCGAATCCATGGAAAAGACTGACACGCAGCAGCTCCCGAAATTCTCAGAGCCTCCTCAGGCTTTCCCCGAGAAGGCCCATCGGCGATGTTCGAGTAACTCGGCACACGACATATCCAGGTGTGACTTGGATTGGCATCCTCGGCAGCAGCGAAGCTCCTGATCAAAGTGTCCATCGTGTGGGATTTTGAACGGTCTTTTATGAGCCCAAATCGACAACCTTCATTGTCTGTCCAAATGATCACCCGGCGTCCTGAAAAACGATGAGCCAGGTGTATCCGCATGACCACGACAGCGTAGGTTTCGATTTGTCCAATCAAGTGATCACCGTCTGTCTGTTGAAGCGACTCGACCATGTCCTTTGGCATCTCGCCTCCATAAACTTCTGCAGATCCATCGTGTGAGTCGAAAAACACAGCCCCAACTCCGGCCACACCTTTTTCCCAGCTGCCATCTGTAAAGAGATGCACCGGAGAACTCGGCATATCTGCTTTGAGCTGGAGGGGCTTAGACGATTCCAATGCAGTTATGGCGCGTCGACAAAGCATCTTAACCGCAACAGGGGAAGGGTGATGTCCATGATGCACTATGGCGTTCAAGTCCTCACAGACATAACGTAAAGTTCTGCCTCCGAAGAACCCAGCCGCGTACCGCAGGAGGCCCAGAAGGACTTGGCCCTCGTGGCGGCTGAGGACTGCTGACTCCTGGATCTCTCGAAGGCGCTCAAGGAGTCGATCAACCCGGCCGAGCTTGTTAGCCACCGTCAAAATCCCTGAAGATATGCAAGAGACGTCGAGATGCAAGCCCAGCACGTCAAAGGATTTCGCAAAGGGGAGGCCTTTGTGACCCTCACCAATTTCGGCATGTTTCCAACCCAACAAGTGCAGGAACTTCGTGCATAAGAGGCCCACCTGTTCAGCATCTTCCGAAGGCACAAGGATTGGATAGTCGTCGAAGAAGTTTGCATGAGGGATCTCCAGCACGACGTTCATTAAGAAGCTCAAGGCCCGAGCTATTCTTAAGAAGGCATAGACTGAAGCTGAAGCCCCAAAAACCAATGCTGAAGAAATGAAAAAGATTGGGTGGCCATCGGCATCACGCAGAAGCAGAACACACAAGCTCCGATGTTGCTCACAAACTGCCATCTGTTTGTAAGCACCACTTAGATCAAGGCATCGGCCACTCCACTCTCTAGGTACGACTCCCGGCTTTCCCACTACGCGCTTTGCAATTTCCATAGCCAAAGAGATGCAAAAGTCACCGTCCTGTAACTTTAGCTTCATGGCGCTGGTGAAAGTGCTGTTCAAGTCGGAATCGCAGGCATCGTCAATCGGCCTCAGTTTGCCTCCTTGTCGAACGCCGAACCTTCGCATCAAACTCCAATCCGACCTCCCCAAGTGCTCTGAAACTTCCTTTTCACTGCTGAAAGGCCCCTGAAGCCATCCAGCCTTTGCCTCGTCCATAGTCACCTTCAGCAAATCGCGTTCGAGCTCGGGGTCAGAGACACGATTTTCCAGAAGTAACGCTGCTCGTTTCAAGGGAGCCACTTGACGTAGCTCCGCTTCGGTAGACGTAGCAGATTTCACTTTGACATCAAAGGCCGCAGGGCATTCGGACACACCCGACAACCTCACACCCGACTTTAGAAGCTCGATCGCCTCCATGTCGTCAAAGTTGTGCTGTCGCAACAATGACTCCAGAAGTAAGATCCTCTTGCCTTGCATCACAGTCTGCATCCACGATGGCATAGCTGAGTGAAGCTTGCTCTCGTCTTGTTCCAACTTTTTGGCAAGGATCTCTGCCTTCATCAGTGCGAGTTTTCGACGAAGAAACAGGGCCCGGCGATCAGCAACCATGTTGGCCTCAAGGGAAGCCTTCAGCTCCTTTGGGAGATCGTTCTCGGAGTCAAGAGGGTGGCACACTTTCTTGGCAGCCTGGAACCACTCACTAGGATCTCTGTAGAAACCAACCTGGCAATCCTCACCCCTATCTGGAGAAGTTTCAGGAAGAACTTCGGCGGCCTCCCCCGAGTCACCCCCTTGCACGGGAGGCGCGCCGAGGACCTTGCAACCGGAGGGGGGAATTTGGCCGCGCGGCATGATGCGCACGAACTTGTATTCGGAAACCAAGGGCTTATGCTTACGGGTCTGGCGACCCACTGCGGACAGAGACTGCAAACGAGGGTCGGGGGCTTCCGGCCGGCCAGGGGAAACGTCGCAAGCAGACGCTTGTTCCTCCACTTGAGCCGAAGGGTCGGGTGCAAGCGCGATGCGCATAAAGTTCCATGACTAAACATCACCACAGCAATCACTCACAAACAGCATCCGACGCGCTCTCTCTTTTTGTGCAGGATGGAACGGACCCATGCGTATCAGCAGAATGCATCACCCAGCACGTTGATCCGGGCGAGTCACCCAGCACGTTGATCCGGGCGAGTCACCCCTGGTGAAACGAGTGAATCCAGGCACAGAGTGCCCACGTAGTGGCAGAGCCTTGGTCAAGAAGTTATCGGACTGACAAGAGAATTGTCAGCGGTATGCCAGCGCCAGCATTCGGCAAAGCAGTTTCAGCAAGTGCTGAGGTATTAGAGGGACCTAAACCCTAGGGAACACAAACCACACAAGGAGCCGGGACAGACACGGGCAGCCGGCGATTAGGGGAAATTTTGGGACGTGGCGGGCGGGCATCAAAAATTTCACGATCCGGTCTCGAGCAACGCAGAGCAAACAATGCCCAATCAATTGGAAAGATGTCAAATCTGCAAGGACTTCACCACACTCAAATTTGCCAAATACCGCATGCCAAATCAAGTCACTTTCAAGCAGAGTTTTTTTCGGAAACACCCACAAAGGTTTTCCACAAGGTGCCAAAGGCCAACATCCAACGTTCCAAGGAGCGCCCACCCACCCCCCCCGACTCAAGTAACGGAACAATCCCCCCGGGAGGACCCGGGTAGTTTGTTCCTCCACTTGAGCCGAAGGGTCGGGTGCAAGCGCGATGCGCATAAAGTTCCATGACTAAACATCACCACAGCAATCACTCACAAACAGCATCCGACGCGCTCTCTCTTTTTGTGCAGGATGGAACGGACCCATGCGTATCAGCAGAATGCATCACCCAGCACGTTGATCCGGGCGAGTCACCCCTCCCGCAGGCGTCCGGAGCGGCGTGCCCCTCCTTCCTGCAATCCGTTTCACCACGAGGTTCTCTCCGCCAATTTCTGCTTCTTCGAACTCTTCATCTTAGGGCCTGAAGATGCACGTGCCAAAGACTTCGCTTCAAGGAAATCCTCGTGAGCAGCTGCAAGCTCTCGCATAAAATCCATCGGAATGTCGTCCCAGCTAACCTTGACCCTCTGCTCACTGTCAAACAAGGCGAAATTTTCGTTAGTCAAATCATCTGCCTCAACATTAGTCTCACGCGGCCGCCAGACCAACTTCATCTGAGCTCCATGCGGCTGCAGAGTTGCAGTGACTTGCATCAAGATGCCAAGAAGTGGCCACGAGGCAGAAGAACCCCGGGCCTGCGCCTGAGGGGTCGCCTGATTGTCCGTGCCACCAACCAGCACGGCATCAAAGGTATCCCCGAATGCACGTGAACCCTCCAGCAACCCGAAAGCAACCAATGCGACATACGATGCAAGCAGCTCAGCAGCCGTCGAGGCCCACTGTGATTCTCCATTCGGCTTAAACAACCACGGTGCCTCCAACGGGGAAAGGGCAAGAGAGAACCACGGGGCCTTCCGGGGAATTCCCTCCTGGCCCAACAGCCAGCCACCCAGGACCACACGATTCGGTGCACATTTGGCATCGGTGCGAAAGGCCTGGCGAGAGGCCCGCCAGTCTACAACAGGCCGCACCAAGCGTCCACGATCCTGCAGCTGACGCCTCACGAAGATCAGGCAAAGATAGACCAACACAGGCATTCGAACCGCTGTGCCTCGGGCGAGGACAGCGCACCATGAGTGCAAGGGGGACAAGAATGGCTTTATCCAAGTCAGCAAGCGAGCCACAAAGGAAAGCCTCCCAGCGAGCTCGATCACCGACCGCCCCACCACGATCCAGTCAGCCTGCTCGGCTTCCAGAATCCACTTGACCAGCCACGAGCACCTCCGCTCGGAGATGCCAGCCCTCCATTCAGAGTATGAGATTTCATATCCCACAAAATCCACAACAGTACCGCCCCGGAACTTACGATAGGCAAACGGCGTGCCAACCAACTCGTAGGCAGCCAGGCACATCCACATCGTGAGGAATTTGTGCTGTCCAGCAGTCAAGAGGTGAAGATCATCCGCAAACACGACTTGCTCTGCCAAACGGTCAGCATGACCCTGTGCACCCAACGGCCTATACAGCCGAACAAGCGGAACCAGTGATAGGCGGCAGAGGAAATCCCAAACGTGCCGACAGTATTTACCCAAACAGTACGCGCCTCACTGCGTGCCTTGCACCCAAGCTTGGCCCAATCGGCGCGGCGGACTTTGGTCAGGCGGTGAGCCTGAGCGATATCTGCAGAAATGCAAAACACTGCCTCTTTAGATTCCTGCCCCAAAGCAACCGTCTCAAGGATTTCATCCGGCCCCGGCATTTCCAAGCGATCGAGAATTTTGATACGATTGTTCAAGCCAATGCAATGCGTCCCGTCGTGCAGCGGACGGATGTCGCCATTCGGCTTAAGTAAGGCACCCATCGAGGCCACCAGCAAGGTATCACCATACTCTGCCCGCAGGGCAGGTTCCGTGCTCGGGATCATACGACCAGCCCGTTCCTCCGCAGCAAAATGTTCTTCAAGCTTATCGGCTGAAAGTTCCGCAGACTCATAGTTATTCATGATTTGCTGAAAGGGGGTGACATCCAAGGTCCGCTCCTTCACTCGTTCCCGGTACACCTGCGGCGTACGCGGCAAAGGAACCTCGTCACCCAGTGGCACGCCCATCGCAAAACATTCCTCCCCTTGAGAGAGGCATGCCCAATCTGGATCACCCATCAACTTCAAGGACTGCGACAACAAGTGCAACAAGAAAGGCTGGCGCTCTGGGACCTGCAAAGCCAGATCCGGGTCTGGCAGCATGCTTGCAACCTGCTGCCTCAAACGCTGCACGCCCTGTTCACTAAAGGGGGACGACTTCATCCTTCCGACAGCCAGTTGCAAAGCAGCCTTGCGCAAGTCACCAACCTCCTCTAGCACAAAGTTTCGAATCGCCCTTTGCACCCGCTCAGCATGCTGCCACTCCTCTCGACTTGAGAGCATGCCTCGCTGTTCCGGGCGCCAGCGCCCCGGAGAGCACAAGCCAAACCCATCAACAAACATGCGCCCTTTCGGGTGATTGCGGCAATGAATGGGCTGACCAAAACAACGACTTGTGGCCTGATCGAAGACATCACTCTCTTCCTCTGCCTCCTCCAAGTCTGACATGTCTGCAACCCCAAAACTACCCGGCGGCCCTAAACCTGAAGGGGAGGAGGAAACCCCAACCGCGGCGGGATCAGGACTAGCCACCGGGGCACCGTTATGAGGTCCAGTCGCCCTTTCCTTATCAAACCCTAAAAGCCCACCAACCTTAGATGCAAGGGGCGTCCCAGCATCGGCGACAGGACCCGAGGGCTCCGCTAAGGTCTCTGCTGTATCACCCCGGGCAACGCCAGCAGTGACTGACGGCGGGAGCAGAAAGCCCAAATGCGAAAGCAAGGACAGCGAGCTCACGTCAAGAGCCGGCAGTTGGCGGACGCAGTAGCCAACGAGCACCACCCGAGAACCTCCAGACCAGGGTTCAGTCTGATGAAAGCGCTCCCAAGCTCGCAGAAGCTGTGGTGCCCGAGCGACATCCAAGAGGACCCCCGGACACGGAGTCCCATGCACCGTGCGCCAGACATCCCCATTCTGATCCTGCTGCCACACCTGGCCATTGGAGAACGTCGAAAGTGCTAGCAGAAGGTTTGGATAGGGTGCATTATGCGAATCCCGATGCATCTGTGTGGCGGCATCCACAAAGACCGCAACAGAAGAGAAGATCTGGCCTGGAAAAGCATGGCGGAGCAAAGTGCACAGGACCCGAAGGGTGGCCGGAAACTCGCGGCAGGACCTACGAAGGCCGACAACTCCCCCTTTGCAGTATGCCCCGCCAAAGAAGGCTTGCGCCGCAGTCTGAGCACTGACATGCGGGGCCTCCAGTGGCAAGAGGGTGATCAGTGCTTGGGCATCGTGTGGAGCAGGGGGCCTGTCCTGTTGCAAGAGAAACGTAGCAAACTGTTCAGCAGCATGTTGTTCCGGACCATCCGTGCTAAAGGAAGCAGAAAGTGCCGAGGCAATCAGGTCAGCAAGAAAGGCACAAAGCGGGGATGGGTAAGCTTCAGTACCGGCAGTGCGCCACTGGCCCGATGACCAGCCAGCCCCTGGTCCGTGATGGTGATCACACCGAAGGATGGGCCCTGCATATGTCCCATCTTCCTGAAAGGAGGGCCAGGAAGACCCGAAGACTCGAGCCCCAGGCAGATTTGAAGCCAAGCGAGTAGGTTTTGGAGTATCGGCGGAGTAATCGCACTGGCGGAGGCCCCAACAAGGGGCGTCGCCTACTGCAGTCCGGATCTGAGGCCATTGCCAAATGCTAGCTGGGTCATCGCCATTGGGCAGGCGACCCAGATCTTCCGGGTGTTCAAGCAACCAGAAATGTCCCAGTGAAGACATCAGTTGAATCATAGCAGCACACTGCTCAACGAAGAAATTATGCTCTTGCACCAGTGCGCGGTGCGATGCAGACAACCAAGGAAAACCAAACGTATGAAAGCGGGAGCGCAGTGGTCGGGGCCCGGAGCCATCCGGCCGAGATCTATATCGGGCGCGACTGAAAGTGGAACATGGAGGTGACAAGATCACCACATCCCAAGCGCCCGAACGAATTTCCTTCTCCAATGAATCCCAAAGAGCCTTTTTAGAAAGGTCAGCCTTAGTTCCATCCCGACAAATGTCAATTTCACGCAAATTCAAAGTGAAACCATGCACATCAGCCAAGTGACGCAAATGTGTGGCGAGGTCGCCGTCACGAGGCTTGCCAGCGAACAAGTACAGCACTGAAAGTCAGCTCTTCGCGCCAGCCCCATCTGTTGCCCGCGAAGCACCATGATGCTCCATCCAATGTTGCCAAGTGGGATGTGGCTTGCCGCAGCCGCGGACCTGACAGCAATGTACCATGCCACAGCTCCCGTCGCAGCCGGCCCCACTGTAAGCAAAACAGATGAGCCGATTGTCGGGCGTGCGAGTCACAAGATCACCACCCTTGCGGTCCTTGCCCTTCTTGCCTGACTTTGCCTCCTTGCCCTTCTTGCTGCCCTTGCGGTCGCCCTTGCGATTTCCTTTCTGCCACTTGTCCCAGGATTTTCCCCAGGCTGCTTCAGATTCGCCACCGGGTTGCCAGGGACGTTTCCAAGCAGGCTCACTGCGACCCTGGAGCGCAATGGGGGACACGAAGAATTGCTCTTTCAACTGAGCATTTCCTTGAACCTCTGCCAATGTATCCACCAGTGCCCGCGACTCACGGAAGGCCTTCTTGACAGCTTCGCGTCGCATCTCATACTCATATGTGAGCAGCACCTGCCACGGAGGACGAAGTGGTTGTTGGTCACCCTTGCCCTTTCCCCCGGGAGTCGGGACTTGCATCAAGTAGACTTTGTCACCCAACAAGTAGTTGACATAGTCGAGCCACACTGCTGGAGTCATGCCACGGAACATGGCCTGGTTCCGATACTTGCTAGCCAGAAAGGTCCACATGTTCGCCTCAACGCGTAGGACAGTGCGGAGCTCCTCCGTATGAGCAGGCAGATTTCCTTTGGCTTTCTGACGAACGATGCGAACATGTCCAGTCGTGTCCACACTGGTTTGAATGCCCTGAGTCTTGGCCCGCTTCTTTGAGATCACCTCCGAAAGCGGTGAAGCCGACACTTCACCAGATTCGACCTCCTCGATTTTGGCTGACAAGTACTCCTCCGAAGGCTCGTAGGTCTCCTCAATGGATCCATGAACAGCCTCGAAAGCTGCCCGCATAGCCTGCTTCTCTGTCTGTGTCACCGGCCGCACCACACCTAAGACCCGCGCTTCTGCTTTGAGCGATGCCTCCTTGCCAGCATACTCTTTGGAAGCCTCCCAAGCAGCTACCACAGAGGCCACCACGGCCCGGGAAGCTTGATCCGTAGCATCCAGAGTGTGATCAGTCCGAAGAGCAGCCCGAACTTCAGCCCTTGAATCAGCATAACTCGCAAAGCGTCTCACAGTACGAAAGTTGATGCTCAAGCGGTATTGCAAAGGCAGTGGCACCCCGCACTCCTGGAAGATATGCCGCAGATCCGATGCCACCTCCACGTCCAGATGCCGCAAAGCCGCTGCCTCATCGATGCCATTGGGGTAATCAAGCGGACCAGGCGCGCCTCCCGCCATGCCTGTGGTACCACTAGCTGCAGTAAAACGCACAAACTTAAAGGAAACCTTCAACTACATCCCCAGGCTAGCGAAGAGCCCTGAGTTACATCACATTCCAGCCATCCTGTGACTGCACTGAGCTACATCTCAGTCCCTTGCTCTTGATCACATCGGCACATCTTTCATTCGTGCTCGCAATGAGCAACGTGCCACCAACATTCAACTCAATCATTCCACCCCTACGACTGCAAGCAAGTGCAACAGCCAACAACACTTTACGACTCAGCGCGCAAATCGCCTTCCGAAGCACTACACTAGCTTGAATCATCCAAGTCCGGAACATCCGCCGATCCCGGAGGTTCCCCCTGCCCGTCATTCCCCGGAACCAGCGAATCTTCCGATCCACTGCTGGAAGTCTCCTGCGCCGCTGATATCTTAAGCTGGCAGAGTTTGCAGATCGCATCAGCAATGCCCTCCGAGATCTTTGACACTCCCACAGTCTCCATACAGCGCTCTTGTCGAACTGCACAGGCCTTGGAGAGATGCAAACGGCGGAACCCAGAGCGAGAAACTGTCACAAAGAACGGCATGTCCGGAAGCGAAGATTCTTCTTCCCCCGCATCCTTCTCCTCAGCAGGCAACTCAGCTTCCAGGCGTCCACGCGAAATCTCGTAGCGCTCAGGACCCACCGCCAGCAAGGGGTGAATGCCTCCGAGCTTCCATGTGTAATCGGTCCACTCGAGGACCTGATGCCACGCAATCACTTGAATGCCATCCTGCCCGGCTGCGTCTGCAAAAGACTGGATAGACTGAAAGAGCTCCTCCTCAATCAATCCACCCTCTGCAGTCCCTTCTACCAAGGATTTGCAAACGAAGTTCTGTAGTCCTTGCACGATCTGCCGAGCAGTTGTAAGATAATCCAAAGAGCCGCCTTGCGAGCATCTCCAGCGTCCAAGGAAATCGCACTTTGATTTGTCAGCACCCAGCGAGAGTGCCCATGTTGGCAGAGTATGCCGCGCAGAATGACCTGTCCAATACGCAGCCACCGACCCGGGCAACAGCTTCGTGGCACTTGTTCCCCAAGTGCCCTCACGGCACAAGGGCACCCGAAGCTCCTTGTGCAATCGACGCAGAAGTACAGCCAAATCCTGAGCATCCACATATGAAAATCCAACATTCCAGGATTCATCCATCGCTGGACATAAATAATCCCGGGGCCAGTGCAGCTCAGACGTCTGAAGCAAACGGTACCCCTCCAAGAGCCAATCGAAACCACTCAAAGAAATCACTCTTGACACATATCCTTGCAGTTCACCAGTACGCCGGCCCGGTCCGCTAGTCTTTGTCCGGCGCAGAATGAACTTCAAGCCGATCTGCGACAGAGTGACTGAGAAGGGATCCATGTGTTGCACATCATCGCACCTCATAGTCGACCAAAGCATGAGCAGCTGCACAAACGCAAGAAAACGTAGCCCCGCAGGAAGAGTAACCCTGCAGGCTGTCAGCTCACATGACAACACCATAGCCACAGTAAGTGCAGGTGCCTTCCTGACCGGCAACGCCACTGTTTCGAGCTCTTCAGTCCAGGACTGGATCGTGCTCATAAGCAGTTGATCCATCGAAAACCTGCTGCTTGCTGGCACCTGCCCGACACTCTCAAGCACTGATAAAGCTGCCATAAGTGAAGATGGTACAGTCTTTCCCATTGGCTGAATATCATGTCGTTCAGTGAGATACTTTACGAAGCGATCAACTCCTCCCGGCCAGCTTTCGCCGAAGGTAATCTCAAGCCACGAATGAAACTTGCGCCATGCCAGAGCACGATTGCGGAGCGTCTTCCCACGCCGAGTGCCGAATAGCCGACACCAGGCTGCCCGTGGATTAGAGCCCACTTCTCACGCAGCAGAGCCTCGCGATTCTCGCCCTGTGCTCCATGAATCAGCTTCCGTTGTCGGATCGACTTCTGCAGCACCTCCAATGCTAGCGCCGGACTACCAAGCATCAGGCCACTGAAAATCTCCTCTTTGCTTTGCTCCCGACGTGGGAACTTGACTGGCCTACGTGGGACCACATCTGCTACTTGCCTGGGAAGTGATACACGCCGTTCCACCGATGCACGCCAATCCAGCAACCGCCGAACCAGCCGATTTAGCTCGTCCGCAGGACGAGTGCCACCGAAGAACTCCAGCAGCATCTGGCTGCATTCATCCTCATCATCCCAGGCAGCCACAAACTGAAATGGCCCAGAATAAAGCTTGCATACCTCACGAAAGAGATCGCCATCTAACGTTTCCAACCCATACCAGTGCACGTCAGACATTCACCCAGTGAAGCATCAACCAGACAGAACTAGCAGTCTCAGCGCCATGCCTAGCGCCGAAGGTCTATGCTCCCCACTCACATCAAAAATTTCACGATCCGGTCTCGAGCAACGCAGAGCAAACAATGCCCAATCAATTGGAAAGATGTCAAATCTGCAAGGACTTCACCACACTCAAATTTGCCAAATACCGCATGCCAAATCAAATCACTTTCAAGCAGAGTTTTTTTCGGAAACACCCACAAAGGTTTTCCACAAGGTGCCAAAGGCCAACATCCAACGTTCCAAGGAGCGCCCACCCACCCCCCCCGACTCAAGTAACGGAACAATCCCCCCGGGAGGACCCGGGTAGTAAAGCAGGCGGCCCATCGAGCAGCCAACACAACAGGATACTGTGCCTCGAGATGAGTGGACCAAACCCAACCTCCAGCGCGCCAGCTGACGCCCCAAGGTTCATGCACATGACGGCCGCTGCAGCGGGCACGAAGGCAGTTAAAGGCATCCCGGTTGCTGAGCAGCTTGGTGGACTTTGGGCGAGCACCACCGTGCTCACAAGCGTCGAAGATGATCTCATGCAAGTCATTGAACCAGCGGCGGACCTTGGGCGAGGCGTGCTGGCGGACCTTCAAGGCCAGCACACTCCAGAACCACGAGTTCGTGGGGTTTTCGAGAGTGAAGACACAGTCGTGCTCAGCGCACCACAGTAGGACATGAAAGACCAGGTCATAAAGACGATTGGCGGCGGCTAGGCGCAAACCATCATCGCTTGCAGGGTCAATGTGAGGCAAGCCGAGGGGAAAGTCGGCGCTCCGAAGTGGCCGAGGGTCACGGAGGCCGAGGGCTCGTAGCTTTGCTGGCAAGGGCCGCTCACGGGCCCGAGAAGAGGTGCCACAAGGGGGGCCCAGGTGCACCGCGGCAGGCTTTTTGTCACTCAACAAGCGAAACAAGGCATCGCGGCCCAGACTGGAAGCAAGGTCAAGGCGAACCGTGGGAACCTGAGGGCGCCGGGGGCAGTTGTCAACGGCAACGGCCGTGAACCCGAGCCTCTGGGCGGCTCGAGCCAGGGTTGCAGAGCCGGAGAACACCTCGAGAAAGAGCTTGGGTGGGCCAGGGATGGGCAAGGCGGACGGGGAGGGTAGGCGAAAGCCAAGCGAGCGTAGCCAGTCCCGGTCGGGGGGGGGCTTAGGACTATCCCTGGGGGTGAAGGCAATCAGCACAACCCTGCGGCCCTGCCAAGGCAAAACAGCATGGCGGTTCATTGCGGCATGAAGCAAGACTGGCTCTGCGGATACCTCATGCAGACGCCCCCAGAAAGTGCCAGAAGCGTCTTCAAAGCGGTCAGCCCCGCCTTCGCATTCTTCCCAGATTTGGCCATTGCGAAACCGGGTCAAGGGGATGACAAGATTCCAGGAGGAGCGGTCGTTATTGCAGTCCACGTGAAGTGGGCTTTGAACATCATCAAGCAAGACTAAGCTGGAAAAGGTGTGATGAGGATTCACTTGGTGAACATAGCGGCAAAAGAGAGCGGCGCTCTTTGGAAAAGACTTAGTGTCAGTACGAATTCCGATCTGGGACCCGAACACCCAGGCACCGCAACCAAAGCTCCGGTGATGGAAGGCATCTCGTTTAGATGGATTCCTGGGCAACAAGTCGAAAACTCTCAAAACATCAAGGGCCGCCAAGGTTGGCTTGCGAAGCAGTTGCTCGGCAAGGGCTTCGGGACCTAAACCAACGGAGTTGGCCTCAAAAGGGACGGGCGTGACACAATGCGGGGAGAGCGGCGCAGGCTCCGGGAGCAGGATGGAGCCCCCCGCCCGGAGTCAAGATACCAAGTGGTGCACAGATGGCCAGGGTGGTCGCCACCACACCCGGCTCTCCAACAGATGTGGAAACCACGGCCGCAACGGTTCTTGGAGTTGACTCGAAAGCGGCACCTTCCTTGATTAAAGGCAAAGCATACAGGCTTGTCGTTCACGCGGCTCACACAGCCGTCGGGCACCGTGAACTCCTTGCGACCCTCACCTTTAGACGACTTGCCCTTACCCCTACCTCTCCCTTTATCGCCCTTCTCACCCCCCTTTGGGTCATCCCATTTGCGCTTGCCTGGCCAGGGTGCAGAAGGAGGAGGAGTAGGGAGAGCATTTAGGTACTGCAAAACCTCTTGGGACTCGGACAACAGCCTGATCTGGGTCTCCAAAGGCTTCTCGCGGCCGGGCTCGCCGGCGAGTTTTCCAAGGAGGGCATGCGAGGCCAACGTGAACAAGTGTTGATGAGTGGTTACCTTGGAATAACCACTGGGCACAGGCCTCATCAAAGCAAGGAAGCATTTGTGACACCACTCCTCAAGAACCTGAAAGCTGCAGAGACCCGCAAGATCATAGGCCAGCGAGCGACGAGTCCAAGCATTGCGCAGAGCCAAGTCAGTGTGCGTGTCACAAGTGGCGGACTCAGCCTTGCTAGCCATTTTCAGGTTCCCTTCGCCATCAACCACCACCTGCTGGTCTTTCTTCAACTGCTGAGCTTCTTGGGCACGGCTGATGATGCGATATGCTGGCAAGTACTGAAGGACTCCATCCTCCAGTTGTTTGACGAGAGTATCCACGACAGAATGGGCAGGCAAGGTTTCGGGCGAAAGAATGAGGCCCGTGACCCGCTTCTTCAAGGCTTCCTGGCGAGCCAATCGCTCCGCATTTGGCAATGTTGGCATAGCACGAACCACCGCTGTGTCAGCGGCAGGCTCCACGCGTGCCCTCATGTCAGCCACGCTCAGGTTCTGGGCTTCAAACATCAAACGTCTCACCTTAGAGGACTGATCAGGCGGGAAGTCATGGGGGAAAATGCTTCCCATCCAACGCTTCACATCGGCTTCATCTAGTTGCGTCGGTGTGGTTGACACAGCAAAAGCCAAGGTCCCGAAGCTCTTGAAGCCCGCATCGACAAGGGTGCAAATGGTGGATTCGCTCAGTTTGACTTTCTGGCATCTCTCCAAAAACCAGGCCTCGCTGTCCACCGCGATTCCCGCCATGGCTCGACTCCTAGCAAGTCGGGACAACCTCGCTCCTTGTCGGGTTGAAGCCCAAAGCTCGACTTCGGACAAGATGGGTATTGCAACACAGTCAAACGTGTCCGCGGTTTCCCAGAGCAGAACCCCATGCTTTTATCATGACTGCGATTCCGAAGTGCTCTGACGGTGAATGAAGCCTCGGCTCCCGCAGCTGGGTGATTCTCGATAAAGATTTCGAGTCAGCTGGAGTAGGCATCAGTTGTTCTCCCTCAAAGATCTCGACTTGCGTTCGAGTGGGAGCGACATCACCGATTGTCAGACTTCGGTGCGACGCCTGAGATTGGCTGAAGGATCTATCGTCTGTGCTGTTCACAAGGACAAATGCACTCGTTTTCCTTCAAGATTTCGATCACTCTGCAGCCTCCAAAATGTGCCGGCATTGTTTACAGGGGTCGGGGTCCTCAAAGTACACCCCCGCCTCACTGAAGGGAATATGGTTCCTCGAGAGAGGTCGGCCACACCACAAGTTGGCTTGATCCTTCAAACAGTGCGTTATGCCGGACACAGTGTGCACTACAAGAGATTCCTCGGAAACATTTGGCCCAAAAGGGGCCCTCACTAAGCCTCCCCCGCCGCGGCCTGGAGCCTCAGAAGCTTCAGAGCTTTGTGAAGAAGGGGGGTCCTCGAACTCGTCAAAATCGTGTTGTGGAACAGGCGCCTCGGGTTCCGTAGCGATGACGTCATGGGCGGCACTAGGCCTCTCCGCTGCAGCCACTTGCACCACCCGATCAACGTCAGACAAGTCAGGGTCATAGTCTCCCGCGCGAATGGCCTCGAACATCGCCATGACACGGCCGTACAGAAGGGTGTACTGCTGTCTGGCATAGGTGGCGGGTGATTTCTCCTTCGGAGCGATGTGGTGTCCAAGAAGGCGCTTTTCCGCCCCACTGAATTTTGGGCGAGGGCAGCGGCCCGCCTAAGAGGTCAACGTGGCCTTCAAAGAATGTGTCGCCCTCTGCATGGCTTGGTCTTGATCGATTCCCTTCAAAATCAGAAAGTCCTGGAGGTAGCTGGTCGCCTCAACGCTTCCCATCTTGACAGTGCTCCAACGGTTTTGGCTCTCGAGGCGTGACGGCAGCGCAAAATTCTCAAGAGAAAGGCCTTCATGTTCGCGAGCTTTTAGCCAGGCTTTTGCCCAGTTATGGCCAGACAGCCCGCAACCAAGTGCTGCATAAGGTAGCAGCCGGGTTTTTGCCTCCTTGGAGACCGTCGTCTTGGATGTCAAGCCTGAGGCAACAACAAGGATCACGCCGTTGGACTCCTGAATTGAAATCTCCTTGAGGTTCTGTGAATCGCTCCATCTGTCAGCCGAATGCGTGCAAAACAGCAGCTGTCCACAAATGCACGCAAGTACTGGTCCAGTTTCCACGCAAAATGCTTCCAATGCCATCACCATGGGAACAGTCAGTTCAGGTTTCTGTTGCAAAGGACGCTTCATCAAACACAGATCCCGGCTTATTCCAAGCACCCGACTGGAAAGGACTGTATCAGGTTCCATATGCAGCAACTTGGCAACCCCGCGCACAAAGCGGAGGCCTTCCACAAAATGCGTCATACTAGTCGGCCTGGCGCCTGAATCACGCAAGAAGTTTGCATACATATATATGGTCGGCTCATCGACTGCCAGAGGGCTGTCTATGCTCTCTGTTGTGCACCAGGAAAAGTACCTCAGGAGGGACCCACCTCGCTTTGAGATTGTCCTGGAAGCTTTGGTCCTGAATGCATCTGAAAAAGTCTTCTTGATGGCCTCCTCGTTTACATCGGCACCGAGTAACGAGAGCAAGGACCTTCCCAAGCTACTCACCTCTGGATCCCACAAGATGACCAGCCGCATCTTTTTGAGAGCAGCTGTGCGAATGTCTTCCTCGGACCGCTCCACAGTGATGCGTTTTAGGTACTTGACTGTTGTGGGTGGCACACACCTTCGCTTTGCTTCATCTTCGGATTCCTCTGGATCAAGAAAATCGTTTGCACCAATCACATGCAAGGAGTTCGTTCCTCTCTCCCAGGAAAAACGCAAAGACGAAGATGATTCCCATGAAAATCTCGGCCTGCTCTCAACACGCTGTTGCGAAGTGGCTTCCACAGCTGCACGCTGGAAGTCACCTAAGATTCTGTCTTCTGGAAGAGGGACCAGAAGAGATGCGTCATCGGTCTCCTGAAAAGAATGGCTTGCGACACGCAAAGTGGCACTCAAGTAGTCGTCTGTCTCCAAGTCACGACAGGAGTCGTACCAAGCAGCTTCAGAAACTGAGGTAGGTGCACAAGACGAAGGCGGTATGTGTGGGCTGAACACAGGCTCGCTGCCCTGAACCCATTCTGGGTCGACCCAACCCTCTTCGTCCACTGGAACCCCGGGCAAACCCTGAAAAGGCCTATTGCAATCGACCCTGGAGTGACTTCCCAAAGATTCGGTGTCTTCAAGGGCTCCCGACTCACCCCCTTGGAAAGAGCCCTGAAGAGAACGAAGCAGAAACTGGGCTTGCTCGTCGGCTGCACGCAGATCGTACTCGCTTCGGTCAACCACACCTGCTGGGCCGAACAAGAGCCAAGGGTCAAAAGCGTCGGGCTCGGAAGGAGGATTGGACATTCCGCAAGCGGCACCTTAGTCGGACAACTGAAGAAGAAGGCGAGCACACGTATGCGGCCGGCGGCCGGAGCAAGCAAGAGCAAGCCACTGAGGAGGGTTGAGGAACAAAAGGATCCTGGACCCTTCTCTGGTACTGACCAGCACGCCACAGAAAGAGCTTTCGATGACGTACGAAAAGAGACTGGGAGGAGCGTCCAGCTGCCGCTGAAGCGAAGCAGTATGAAAGGATCGAGGCCGGATGCAAACCGCCTGGAAAGGGGGGGCTGGCGGCAGAACAGGCCAGTCCCAACTGAGGGAGCTGCTCGCAGAGCTCGAGTCGCTGTCCATCCGCCGAGAGCTCACTCTCGGCTTGCACGACCCCTAAGGGGAGACCAGTAGCACCTCGAACCTCTAGCACGGCACCCTTACAGGATTAGAGGAGGCTCAACGAGGGACAAAAATTTTCTCTCAGCCCGAGCTCGAGCAGCTGTTCACATGAATGCGGCCAACTGTTGATTCAAGCATGCTGCAAGTCACACAGTTGAAAATGTCGTTCAAGATGCTGAGGAAAATTCTTTGAAAACTTGAAATAATTTTTGCAACTCCCAAAGGTCACAAAAGAACTCTAAAACCCCGCGCTCGAAGGTGGAGCGCTACAACTTTAGTTTGAGAGAGAAATGTCAGGCAAGCTGAAATTTTCCTTCTCTTTGCCAACCCCCAAATTTTACTTTCGAGCAATGCAACGTCAGTAGCGCCCTTGACCTTTTCCTTGTTCGTCCAGCTTTGTCCGACCCTGCAAAATTTGCACCTCCTCTTGGAAGCACAAAAAGGCTAGCGGAGGGCATCACCTCATCAAATTAAGGCTGAAGGCGAAGGGACAACTTATGTGCGACGATCAGACCATTCCTGCGCGCACTGTGCCTGCATCCGCTTTCATCGCTGCGCCAGAGATGACTGACCTTCCGGGGATTAAAGCCGCCGAAACTAACTAATCCCTCCCATCTCTTATTACGCAAGCTGATCAATGCTACAAGAGCCAGACTCTCTCTTGATCAGCAGGCAAAAGGTGATCTTTCACCTTCTCAAGCGTTAGCTGCCCAAAAAGCTACTTGTTTCCTTTGGCAGCACCATTCGGGGAAAGGGTCCGTTTCTGCGCTTATCCGCAAATTGACACGCATCCTTCGCAAGGTCAGCTCCTCTGAAGTTAGTCTTTCTGCTCAGACTTTCCAGTGTCTCGGGAAGTATGTGCAACTTCCTCCCTTTCTACCGCAGTCGAATGGAACAGCCTTGCTGCCCAAGCACTGGGTGCACGAAACGTTGAATCGTCTGCTGCTTGGTAGCGAGTTAAAAGCTTCCCCGATACCCAGCCTACGCTCCTTGGTTGCACAAAGAGACCTGCAAGCAAACCAACATAAGGTACGGTGGCAAGCATTTAGAAAAATCTGCCCGCGGATTGTTGAGTCACAGCAGGTTAAAAACGACAATGGGGAAGTATTTAAATCTGTCAGCGAATTAGATGCAGCCCTTCGCGCAACAAGAGCCTTTTGGCATCATGTCCCGCCATGTCGGGATCCCATGTGGCCGAACTTACTAGGGCCGTACGCAGGCAAAGAGCCCTTTGACTGCGTCGCATTGCCTGATGAACACTTGATGCCTAGGGCCATACTCTCAACTAAGGATTCGTCCCCTGGCCCCTTATGCATTCTAGCGTCACGGTCCTGCTTATTTTTCTAAGTCGCTCTTTGGCAAATGCGCCTATCCCAAGCTGATCATCCGTTGCAAGCACTTGTTTTCATTTCCAAGGCAGACAAAGGGTGTTACGCCGACAATTACAGGCCACTGGACACGCCAAACACTTCTGACCGAGTAATTGACTCGGCAGTGTGTGCTGTACTCGCTGAGAGTCTCAAGCATTCTTTACATCCCGCAGCATTTCTTGGAACTCAAAAATGAGTCTTATGCTGTCATGCTCACGGACTTCGCCAAGGCTTTTGAGAGAATCAACCCTTGGTGGGTCCTCGGATGCTTAGCAGCACGGTCTGCTCCTGCATGGGTTAAAGCCTACGTCATGCATCTCATGTTTGGCAGAAGAACTTAGCATAAAGTTCAAGGGCACTTTCTTCCCCCACTCTTGATCAATCAAGGGTTGGCAATGGAGCGAGCGACCTCCGTTGTACTGTTCTGCCTGGCCGTAGACCCCTTGATATGCGCCTTGCACAACGTCTCAGCCTTTCTTTGCTTGACAGCATACATGGATGACAACAGCGCTGCTGCAAAAGGCGTTGGATCAATGAAGCGCAGAAGACTTTCGCGCCTGCCCACACAGCAGGTTTGCAATTTGCAAGTATTGCAACACAATTGTTTCCAGATTGGGGTTTGCAACTTGCATTGT